GCAAAGCACCTAGATATGATAGGACAAACAGCTGGATACACCAAATCAGAGGGAAAGGGCTGGTGGTAAATTTAATTGACACAATGATAGACCTTGCAATGCAAATTGGATGAAGAGAGAAGACTGGAACAACTAATTTTAAAAAAATATTCAGAAGTGGTGGTGACACCTATAAATCCCAGCAACTAGAGATGCTGAGGAGGGGGATTCTTGAGTTTGAGACCAACTTAGCAAGACCCTATCTTGAAATAATTTTAAAAAGGGGGAGGGGGTTGTGTAGCTCAGTGGTAAAATACCCTGGGTTCAATCCCTAGTATCACCAAAATAAAAAAATAATAATAATAATAAAATTTTTAAAAAACTGAACTGATTGAACACACTCATTTGCATTTGTGTACCTTCTAAAATCCACTAAAATCAGAGTAAAGATATTTGATAAAAATAAAAATGCAAAAACTCACAAGGACAAAGAGAATGGAAACAGATGACAGACATCAAGGAAACTGAAAAGCTAATGGATGAGTGTTAACTGTCCTTATAGATCTGAGAAGGCTGAAATTTTCCTCAGGGTGGAGAGGGACGAGGAGATGCCAATGGTATTGGCGCAAACTGATTCTAATTAGAACTACCAGGAACAGCTAAAGGCAGACACACAGGTGTAAAAAATAAAGGGGTGGATTAAAGCACAAGAAGTAAAATCAAGAATCAATAAATGGGGGCTGGGGTGGGGGCTCAAAGGGAGAGCGCTTGCCTAGCATGAGTTTGGCACAGCACCACATAAAATAAAGATATTGTGTCCACCTGTAACTAAAAAATAAATATAAAAAAATCAATAAATGGGACGGTATCAAACTAAAAAGTTTCTTCACAGCAAAGGAAAAAATCAAGAACATGAACAGAGAACCTACAGAGAATGGGAGAAAATCTTTACCACCAGCACCTCAGATAGAGGATTAATCTCCAGGATATACTAAGAACTCAAAAACCTTCACATACACAACACACACACACACACAAAAAAAAAAAAAAAAAAAAAAAACCCAATCAATAAATGGGCTAAGGAACTGAACAGGAAATTTACAGAAGAAGAAATACAGTCAAAAAAAATATGAAAAAAATATTCAACACCACTAGCAATTAGAGAAATGCAAATCAAAACTATACTGAGATTCCATCTCACCTCAGCAAAATAGCAATTATCAAAATACAAGTAACAATAAATGTTGGTGAGGATATAGGGGGAAAAGGTTCACTTACACACTGCTGGTGGGACTGCACATTGGTACATCACTCTGGAAAGCATATGGAGATTTCTTAAAAAACTCAGAATGGAACCATCATTTGAGAGTTATCCCACTCCTTGGCTTATACCCAAAGGACTTAAAATCAGCATACTACAGTGACACAGCAGCTCAATTCACAACAGGAGCTATGGAACCAACCTAGGTGCCCTACAACAGATGAATGAATAAAGAAAATATGGTATATATACACAATGGAAAATTACTTGACCATAAAGAAGAATGAAATTATGGCATTTGCCAGTAAGTGCATGAAACTAGAGAATATCATGCTAAGTGAAATAAGCCAGTCCCAAAACACCAAAGGCCAAATGTTCTCTCTGATATGTGGATGCTAACCCACAATAGGGAGGGGAAGATCAGAAGTCTACACTGGACTACACAAAGGGGAACGAAGGGAAGTGAGAGGGGATGGGAATAGAAAGACAGTAAAATGAATCAGACATATCTTTCCTATCCCTATATATGAAAACACAACCAATGTAACTCCACGTCATATACAACCACAATAATTGGATCCTAATTGGAAAAGTTACACTTTTTCTATGTATGTATAATAGTCAAAATACATTCTACTGTCATGTATATCTAGAAAGCACAAATTTTTAAAAAATCTGTACAAGCAGCAATTAGACTGCTATATTTTTCTCCCTGACTATTATTCTCCCACCATAATAGAGGACTCAAGATTTACTTTGGAAAGATTGAAGTAGGAAGACTCTGGATTCTTGGACAACAGACTTAGCTAAAGATTGGAATATCACCTGAAAGCAGAAGATTAAATAAAAGGCTACACACACTGAATTGGTGGGAACCAGCCCCCAGCTTCATTCCCTCATCTGATTGTAGAGCACTGATAGCATCCCTGGAAGAGATCTAGAGTACTCTGTTCAAGGTAAAAAGACCAGCAGAAAGAGAATAAGAAAAAAACAAAACCAAGAAAAAAGACCAACAGAACGAGAATAAGAAAAAACAAAACAACAAAAAGATGGGTGGGGAAAGTAGAGTGGTTCAGCACCAGGGTTTAATCACCTGTACTGTAAAAAAGAGGGAGAGAGGGGTAAAGGAAATTCCCTAGGCTTACTGGAGCAAGGGCATAGGGGATCTCAGGTTTGATGATTCCATCAGCCTAAAAGAACAGACTGTCGAGACTGAATAGACAAAGATGATATTTACAGTACCGACAGGAATTTGGGGATAAATTGCTGTAGATATACAGTAAACAAAACAAATATTAAAAAAAGAAAAAAGTACTCATCACCATTAAAATAAAGTGGAGCAAAATTTTTAATTTTTAAAAAGAAAACTTAAATTTTGATAAAAGTTAAAAATATGTATAATTCCAATACTTGATATTACTGAGCCAAAAAAACTGGATTGTGAACACAGCATAATGTCTGAATAAAGCGATTTGGCGGGCTGGTGACTTTTCAGTAATGGCAAGATCCAGGGTGTGACTATGTGACCAGGTCACTAAAGAAAATGAAGAAGGAATCAAATGGCCAAAGTATTAGCTGATTGTCAATCTAGATGCTAAAGGTACTAAAACTGATGGTGTGTGACTGTGCTGGTATTTCCACCTTTCTCTATCATCATTTCTGCTACAGTAAGCTGACCTATATATATATATGTTATCAACAGGTTGCCAGGTCCCAAGGCTTCTGATTGTGTTTGGACAACAGGGAATCCCAGAGTAGGAGATTAGAAGAATAAAGTAAGGAAATTCATTCCTTCAACTCCCTCCCTGAAAGGGCCCTTAAGCTAGCCATGTCCCTTCACATGAAAGTCACCCACCATTCCTCTCAAGGCAGTCAAGTAATCATCCCTCTTCCCCTTCAAGTGATGTTAACAGTTTGGCTACAGATTATTACACTATTTCTTGTGGTACCATTACACCTGCAACATTATAAAAAGTACCTTTACAAAGTAAACTCTCCTCAAATTATCTTGTCAAATATGCCACCTGTTCCTGTTGAGACCCTACTAACAATGATAGTAATAATGAAAATGATGGTGATGATAGGTTGTAACAGAGAAGAGCAGAAAGAAGTTACTAATTTTTAAATAATAACTTGTAACACAATTTGAGCTCTATACTGAATAACTTTTCAAAGCTCTTTATAGATACTACCTCATTTAATCATAACAATTACCCTATGTTACAAGCACTGATTATTTTCTAGTTCGTTTCTAAATATAAAAAACCAGCACAGTTGCTGGTTCAAGGACTCAAATACTGATTTTAAATACACACAACAATATGCAAATTTAGCAGTGATACTAACTACTTTTGTAGTACTGCTAAGCATTCATCTTATATATATTTTAGAAAACTATATGAATATAAAGGAATTGTGACTTCCCAGATCAAAGAAACTAAACTCTAAAGGGGAACATATGTGAATAACTTCCTTATGTAGCCTACAGTAAAGTCCTATTTGTCTTCCCGCAAAGCAAACAAGGATTTAGGCCCCAAATTTTAAGTGTCATATTCAAAGTTGCAAATTTTAAAACATTTATTATGTACTTCTAGCCTACTGGCTTATTTAATAGAGCAGAGCACCTTTAAATATCAGTTATGAGTTAAACATATAAAAGGCAAGAGGGTAAACAGAAAAACATGCTTGTGAGTAAAATCACAAAATAAGGGAAAGATAAAGGAGGCTGTGGATGTAGCTCAGTGGTGGAACACTTGCTTGCTCAGCACGCAGTGAAGCCCTAAATTTGATTTCCAGCACCACACACACACACAAAAAAAAAGGTAACAGTGAGCGTTTTGTCAGTCTCATCAGTTTTCAAAGTACTTCACAACTCAGAGCAAATCTTACATTTATGACCTATTTCAGCAAGATCACCAACTATACACACTTCCAGAAACAGCACAACACACATAAGTGTGAAAATTAGGGAATAAAGCATAAAATGTGAGTCAAAGAACAAGGAAATACAATATATGTAAGAGACAACTGAACATTTCACTAGATACTTACACAAACATACAGAATAACTGAGATAGCTACGATGTCCATCTTATAAATAAAAACCTAAAAGTCAGGGAAATAGGTTAGAGGACCAATATGAAGCAAAATGAGAACTCTTTAAGTTTTTCTGAAACCAGAATTAGCTTTTTTTTCCATCTGTATTATACTGCACTCCAAAGCAAAGAGAAAATTCACAAGTATACGAATCTAGAAACCTGAGAAATTTCGAGAATAATGTTTCAGAACTGGAATGAAAATTGGCAAAGACTAGTGAGGTGTGCGGCTACCTTCCCACGTTTAGGAAGAACTGCCATATACAAACCTTGGACATGGAGGTGAGACCGATAAAGCATCCTTGAGTGGAAGGTAGAGAAGCACTGATATTTGATTTGGTTGAAGACAACACAGAAAAGCACGGTCTAAGGAGTAATAGCAAGGACAGAACTTAAAGAGGGCTGGACCCACGCCACAAGCAAGAAGTTCAGGACCTACAAACCAGATTCTACGGGGTGAGGAATGGGCCAGTTCGCGAGCGATCAGCTGCGACTAGTTTCCGAAAAGCGACATAGATGTAGCTTCGCAGCCCCACCCCACAACAGCAGCTCCTCCCCAAGGAGGACCTCACAAGGGCAACCGCCCGCACAGGCTCTCCCCTCGAGCCTACGACCCACCCAGCCCTGGGACCCGCGGCGCAGAACGGCCTCTCTGGGCCCCTCACCGAACGCTGCAGCTCCCCAAGCCAAAACGAGGCGCGCTCCTTTCCGCTGGGATCCGGGTCGTGGTAAAGCGCCTGCACTGCCTGGTACACAAGCTGCAATGTCGGTTTTGCTCCTTCCATGGTGTTGGCGGCAGTGGTGACAGCGACAGTTCGGATTCTTCTCAGGAGGCTTCCCGGTTGCTCTGCCTTCGCGCTTCCTTACTGTCTTGGCCACAGCCGCTCCCTGACTGGCGCCATCTCCTCCTCTTTGGCCGTTACCAGGGCAGAGGGGTTCACTGTAGAAGTTGGCCCCTCGGAAACAGCGGATAGATCGTATTCAGGTTCCTTTTCTTTTTTTCCGTCTTTTCACTGGTATCCAGACTCCTGAGTCCGGACGCTGATTCTTGATTCTTCACCTGCTGATTTACGTTCAGAAGCCGATCTCCGCACGACACCAGCCACGTTGTGTACCTAAGCCGCGTTTAACCGGACCGGAAGCGACAGCCCAGTACCTTTGGCACACTTCCGTCTGGTGCTCTACAAACGGCCTCCTTCCCGGCACGCCTCCTCTTGTCTCCCCGCCCCCTCCCGGAAGTGACCCTGCCAGGCGAGGAGTGTGGAAGAAAGGGTACGCTGTGGTTTTCTACGTCCTCTTTGAGCTTTAGGACCGATTTGTGTCAAGTACCTGAGCCGTTCTTCCCTCCTTGGCATGGGTCAGAGGTCATCTCTCTCCCTCCCGACTTCCTCATTCCTCTCTTGAGAATCCCTTCTGTCCCGGGTTGGTGATCAAGGCGCGTCAATTGAGCTATCTGGGGTGTCCAATGTACCGGAGATTGAGATGACTTAAGACACGGTTCCTACTCAGACCCTAGTGAATGAGACGTGTAACCGACTAATTATTTACAAACCTGAAATGTGCCACATTGAATAATCCAAAAGGACTAGAATCTATCAACCTCCGTTTTCTACTAAGTTCTTTGACCCAAAAGGAGTCTCATTCTACTGCTTGTTACGTGACTTTCCGAACTCCAGAGCACATGCACGTATCTGCAGGGCCATTATCACATTAGTTTGTATTTTTGTGTGTATGCCTTTCTTTATGAATCTAAAATCAGTAGTCTAATAATTCTCAATTTCACAAAAGAAAATAAAAACCCACACTGGAGAAATTTAACACGAAAAATAGCAGCATGTTAAGGGGTTCCCCAACACTGCTCCTCTCTTTGCACTATTTGATAAATGCTTATAATGTGTAAAATACTATAGTTATGATAGCTAAAACCTTGCCAAATTATCATTTTAAAGAATGAGAATTTTAAAAAACAAGAGAATGAAGGTAATGTAATTTGCCCAAGGTCACACATTTTTCAATGAAAAGATTTGAATCCAGATCCATTTTCCTTCAAATACTGTGAAGTAGTACAATTCCTATCATTCTGTGGGGTAGTTTTCTTCAGAATTATTATTGTCAAGGTATTTTAACTAGCCACACCATGATGAATAAAACTGTTATTGTAGAGTTGATAAAATTTCAGGCAAAGAAAAGAAACCTTATGCTTAATCTACCTCAGTGATCCATTTGGTGGAAAAAATGAGTTTTAATAACACCACCTTGATCTCAGCCCTCATGGAATTTACAATCTAATTGCAAAGAAAAACGAACAATTTAGGGCTGGGGGCGGGGGTGGGGGGTGGGGGTAGGTGATGTAGCTCAGTGGGAGGGCACTTAGCTAGCATGCCCAAAGCTCTGGTTCAATCCCCAGCTCCAGGGTAGGAGGAAGCAAAACAAAAACTAGCAATTCAAGACAGTGTAAAAGTTCTGTGAACATAAACAAAATAATGGTGTTGGACTTACTACCTCTATTATAAAAAGATCATAGAACCTAAATATAAGAGCTAAAACTACAAAACTCCTGGAAGAAAACAGGAATATATCTTCATGATTTGGATTTCTTGGGTATGGTACCAAAAACTCAGTCAACAAAAGAATAGATAAATTTGATTTCATCAAAACTAAAAATGGTGGGCTGGGGCTGGGGCTCAAGCGGTAGCGTGCTCGCCTGGCATGCGTGCGGCCCGGGTTCGATCCTCAGCACCACATACAAACAAAGATGTTGTGTCCACCGAGAACTAAAAAATAAATATTAAAAAAAAATTCTCTCTCTCTCTCTCTCTCTCTCTCTCTCTCTCTCTCTAAAAAAAAAAAAAACTAAAAATGGTGTGTTGAAGTACACTCTCAAAGAAGTGAAATGATAATCCACAAAAAATGGGAGAAAATATTTGCAAATCATTTGTCTTGTAAGGGATTAGCATCCAAGAAATATAAAGAACTCTTGGAATTCAACAATGAAAAGACAAATGTAACTCAGTTTTTTAAAAATGAACAAAATATTTGGATAGGCATTTCTCTGAAAAACATCGGTAAATGCACATAAATGATGGTCAACATCCCAGTCATCTGAGAAGTGCAAATCAAAACTACAGGGTCAGGAGGGCTGGGATTGTGGCTCAGTGGTAGAGCGCTTGCCTGGCATGCATGGGGCACTAGGTTCAATCCTCTGCACCACATAAAAATAAATAAAACTAAGATATTGTGTCCATCTACAACTAAAAAATGTATATTAAAAAAAAAAACTACAGTGAGCCAGAAATGGTAGGTAGCACATGCCTAAAGTCCCAGCTACTTGAGAGGCTGAGGTCAGAGAGTTGCTTTAGCCAAGGAAGTCAAGACCAACCCAGGCATCAAAGTACCAGCCTCAGCAACTTAGCAAGATCCTGTCTCTAAGTAAGATATAACAAGGGCTGGGGATATGGTTCAGTGGTTAAGAACTTACCCCTGGTTCAATCCCCAGTACTCAAGCAAAAATAAAAAACAACAGCAAAAATCTTCTTGGAATTTCTTGAAGGATTTTCCCCCAAGCTAATGCCAATTGGGTTTCTGTTACTGCCATCAAGAATTTTGACAAAAAAAAAAGAAAAGAAAAAAATGAATGAATGAATGTCAGTCTGCCATGACAAAATACCACAAACTTGGTAGCTTAAACAACAGAAATTTATTTGTTCACAGTTCTGGAAGCTGGAAGTCCAAAATCAAGGCAACAGGATGGATGACTCTGGTCGGGGTCCTCTTCCTACTTGTAGATGGTCACTTTTTGCTGTGTCCTCCTGTGGCATAGAAGAGAATTCTTATTAGGTCACAGTTCTATGGGATTAGAGTCCTACTCTTGCGAGCTCATTTAATCGTTTTTTTCAACATTACTTTATTGGTGCATTGTGGTTGTATGTAATGGTAGGATTTGTTGTTGCAAGTTTGTATACACACATATTGTATATATAACAATATAATGAACTTATTTAATCTTAATTACCTCCTAAAGACCCCCCAGGTATAACCATATGGTGATTAGTGCATCAACATATAAATAGAGGGACACAATTCTGTCTATGCATATGCTTTTGTTTTGGTACTGGATTGAATTCAGGCGAATGAGACCACTGAGGCAGCCCTTTTTTATATTTTCTTTAGAGACAGGGTCTCACTGAGTTGCTTAGCACCTTGCTTTTTACTGAGGCTGAACTCATGATCCTCCTGCCTCGGCCTCCCAAGGCACTGGGATTACTGGCATATGTCACCACATCCGACCATATTATATGCTATTACTTCCATTGGCCTTAGCTAGAAGAAGGCTCTTGCCCAAAAGAATAAGATAGCATCAAACTCCCTTTTGCACATGGAATTATAGTAAAAATTCAGGCAAAGACATGCTGCCTGCATCAGGAACAGAGATGTGTTATGGTTCAGCACAAGGCAATACATTTGAATTGGGTTCCATGACTCCCTGCTAGGATCAAGCACTCACAATTTTCCCTGGTAGTAAAAGGATACTTATAGATTTAAAAAGTACATGTGTAAGAATGTTAATCCCAGTGTGGTTTGCTCCAGTAAAAAAGTAGAAACACACTCAATATCCAGGTTGGTAATTGATAAAGAACCTTAGGATAGGAGCTGGGGTGTAGCTCAAGAGTAAGAGTGCTTGCCTAACATGCATGAAGCCTAGGTTCTATTCCTAACACTGAAAACAAAACAAAAACTTAGAGTGTATGGGTACTATTAACATCAGATCAACATTGGCATCAGATTCACCATTTTAGGTCGGGAATCATTTTATCTAGAAACTCCAAAGTTTTGACTCTGAGGCAATGCTGCTTAACTTCCCATAAGAACATGGACCTGCTAAATGATCAACTCAACCCCAGTTTATGGTGCAACTCCTAAACAGCTTATGAAATTCCTCTTGGGGCTATAGAGTTGCTCTGTGACTGCAGACATGCTGCTGCTCTCTTCAGTGGGGCAGCCTTGTTGGTTTGCCTTGTGCTACTGACAATAAATCTCTTGCGTGAGATCTGGTGTGTGGCGTGGTCTTTGGACTTTGTGTGGACTCTGCGAGTGTACTTTCAGGTACTAGGCAGCTATTGGAAATCAAGTAGAAAGAAGTACCATTAATTATATTACATATGACAATAGTATTGTCATATGTAAATATATAGAATATATGTAAATATATGGAATATATAAATATATATATATAGGAAATATATTTTTTTATATAAATAGGAAAAAGTTCCTACTTATTTAGATATATATTCTAAAGTATTTAGAGCAATATGGTACAACAAAGAATATATCCAGTCTTTGTCCCCAGTTTCTGATGAAGTACTTCAAAAACTCTTGGAATTCTAGGCACTATGGCCTGTAATCCCGGCTACCTGGGTGGCTGAGGCAGGAAGTTTCCAAATTCAGTTTCAGACAGCTTGGGTGACACTGGGAGATCCCACCTCAAAACAAAAACAAAAACAAAAAAACTTCTTGGAATATTTGCAAAGTGATAGCAATGTCTTTGTTGTGGTAATGAGGTAACTCCACAGAGCCCCTGGTAGATGCAGGTCGGTCTCAGGAAAGACCAATCATGTGACTAGAAGTTTGGAATTTTGAGATTCCAAGGGGAACTCTGGGAAGAACTTCAAGAGAGGAGAGGAATTAAAGATGATTCCATCCCATGACATTGATTTTCTCAATCATGCCAACATCACTCACACCTAGATTCAAAAACAATGACAAAACACAGAAACTCTGGACATCAAAGCTCTGTAGCACTTCCTGGTTAATGAACATATTGATTTTATGACAAGAGATGGAAACTACCTTCCTCCAGGACCTTACTCAATGTGAATCCTTTATAATAAAACTTAAACCATTAAGTATTGCATTTTCCTGAATCATTCTAGAAAATTATCAAATTTGAGGGGGCTATGAGAAGCCCTGTCATTGCAACTAGATGGTCAAAAATGCAAGTAGCTTGGGGATACCCAATGTATAGCTGATATCTGAAATTAGGGGAGTCTTGTGGTGGACTGAGCCCTAAACCAGTGGAGTCTGATACTAA